CCTCTTAGGGTATGTAGGAGATCCAGCCGTTAAGTCTTCACTTGTACAACTTCTAACCCCAAAGAACAACTAAGTGTTAAGTAAACGGAGCTAGGATCAGACTAATGGCCGGGCTGAGGGTCTGTAATCTAACTGCCATTAAGTGTGAGGGAGAAGGTAAGTGTGGAAGATGTCAATAGACATGACATAAATGCTTGAAAGAAAGCACTGATCAAAATGAGGAGCTGTGTGGAGCTCTTACATGGAGATGGGGAGTTTCTGGGAAAGAGCTTGGTTGGAGGAGACTGGGCTCTTCTGCCAGTAAAAAACCATTAAGGTGGGGGAGGACATGAACAGTTGCATAGAGGGGGAAGAAAGCAGGCATGTTATTTGTACTGAAAGTGAGGAGACCATTATCTTTTTTTATCATCAGGAGCGAGAGGTCAGCAATAAATCTTCAAGCTTTTCTGTTATTTCCATATTTGTTCAATGCTGTGATGTCCTGCCACTGCATTTAGATGTCTTTGACACTATGTCATAAATTATTCCTTTTTTTTTTCTTTTTCTCTTCCCCCCCGCCCCCCTCCGACAGTTTCGAGTGTTCACTGCTCCCTTCCACAAGGTAGGCTTCGCAGATTTCTGGCTGGCTGATCAGCTCAACAGCCTGGTTGTGATACTCATGGATCTGGAATACATGATCTGCTTCTACAGCTTTGAGGTTCAGTGGGAGGACAATGCTGGACTTCTGGCAAATACAGGTAGAGTACTGCTGACAACCCACACAAACGTGGTCAAAATGACCTGGAAAACAACTTCATAATTATCTATTTGTTTTGAAGAGGGCAACCGGTGACATAGAGAACGAAAATAATTGATGTTTCTTGTAAACACAGCGTTAGGGAGGTTCTGTTCTTCCTTACTTCCATCCAGAGAAATGAATTTCACATCCCATGTTCATTTCCTAATCCGGTCATTTGGCCTGATGTATATATTCATCAAAGAATTTAGACACAGCACTTCTTGATTGGAATGAGAAATCCATTTTCCTGGCATTCTTGTTTCATTTCATAGTGTCTTATCCATGTATTTGCTTTTAGTCTGTTCCTGTTGCTCAGCAGGACAATGAGTTGCATGAGCTTGTTAACTACAATTTTCTGTGCTGTCGCCTGCTCCTTGCAGGCTCCATCATGGCACCCTAGAGCAAGAGAGGATGGAGAAACCTCCTCAGAGCTTGTTAGTGCCACCCCTTATTCAATTAGACTTGATGCTGTGACACCAGGGTTGTGCCTGCTCTGCCTCTTCTCTCTTTTATAGCCAGAAGAGCTGCAGAGTTGCCATATGAATTTTGACTTTGGCTTTTCCCAGTGACAAAATAGTACCTGTCTCCTCCTGGATCAGTCTGTTTTCTTTCCATTTTAAGCAATAACTGCTGACAAACCGTGTTGTCTGATGGTTTTGACACTTGCTGAAAGCATTTGCAGTATGCCTCAATAAGCATCAGTGTTCACTTTGTTCTTCCAGACTTTCTCTTCACTTTAAGACAGTGTTGCAAGTAACTAAATATTTATTTATTAAAACCAAAAAAATAAAATAAATAAAGCAACTGAGTGGATAACAACTTGTCTCTTCCAATCCAAATGGTGGAATGAGAGCACAGTGCTTTGGGATTAATATCAGCTAATAACTTGTCTCCATTCGTCTGAATAAGAAACAAATGTTTGTTGGTTAGTGGGGTGTTTGATTTAGATGTGTATGGCACGACAGCATAAGAATACAGCATGCTTGGAGGTTACAGGCAAAAATGGGGTGTTACAGGCAAAAATGGGGTTTTCCTGGCCATTTCATCAATAACAAGAAGGCTTTCAAACATCAGTGGTGTGACACAATGTCATGTTGGTGTAGTTGCCTTGTACCCGTTGTTGAAGCCAGGGCTATGCCCTAACTTTGCTTCTTTTTTTTTTTTCCTCAAAAACCCTCCAAAATCCCAGACAAAAAAAACCCAAACACATACTGAAATATGTTTTTTTCCTATTACAATATACAAGAAAAATGGGTCAAGGACATCTTAGGCAAAATAGCCTTTTTGAGCTGTCCCGCAGAGTTTGGAAATGCTCTCCCATTTATGCACAAAAATTTCAGTGTCAAAGGCCTTTTGTAATTCCATCCTTAATTTGATTATTCACAGCACTGCCAAGAGCACAAAATACATTTAAAAATAGATTATTTCTAATCTTCTTGCATGTTAATTACACTGGCAGCAGTGAAAGAGTTAGATGATGATCTGTCTGGATGTGTTATTGGTGTCATGCCACCTTGAATACCTCTGAGATGGAATAAAGGGCTCAGGATACTTTCTGCTGATGAGCTTCTTGCTGTCCTGGATGTGTGCACGCCTCTGCGTGTGCCTAAGTATGAGGTGTCCCTGCTGATGGCAGGGGGGTTGGAACTAGATGATCTTTAAGGTCCCTTCCAATCCAAACCATTCTGTGATTCTATGATTCTTTGTTGATGGGCAATTGCACTCAGGTCAAGTGAAATTACCCTTACAGGAAGGAAGACAATAGGAGTTTTTAAACTTGCTGACTTTATGTCTCTGAAACTTTTTTTTCTTGCAGATAATCAGATTTGTTACAGCTACTCCTACGGAGTGAGAGCAGTTGTCCAGTGCATCCCTGCTTGGTTGCGATTCATCCAGTGCCTGCGCCGTTACCGTGATAACAAACGGGCCTTTCATCTGGTTAATGCTGGAAAATATTCCACCACCTTCTTCGTGGTGACATTTGCAGCCCTCTACAGCACTCACAAAGGTATGGGTTATTTTGGAAAATCCTTTGCAAGTCATGGGATTTGTTTTTCACATGGGAGAAATTCAGAATCTGTCATCCCATTGAATCATGAACTTTTGTCTTTTGGCACCTGTGAAACATCTCGATGGAAAGGTAAAGGCCTTCTAAGCTTGCAAAGAGTATTTTAAGATCTTCTTTTAGGTATTTTTCACATAGTTGGTCTGCTTAGAACTGCACTTCAGGAGTATGAGAGAAAATTTTCAGGTTTCTCTCATGAAAGGAGAAAACTGAAATACCTGTCGGTTTTTGCTGTGAAGGGAGGTTGAATGGGAGATGTATGAGGAAAGGAATAACACAGGAAATAATTCTCCCTTGGCATTCATGAATAGCTAACCTGGATCATCTAAATAAAGTCAGTCCATCATTCCTGAACAAGGGGAGATGTGCACAGAGCCGGGAAAATGCCCTCTCTGGATTTTCCTGTGTGTTTTTCTCCATGTTTTTTCTGCAGCTGGTGGGGAGCTGTTTCCAATCCATTTAACTGCAGATTGAGCTCTGATCCCTCAAGTTCTCCATCTCCCTGGAAACGACAATTACTCGATTCTGCTCTTGTTCTGAAGAAAAAACCTTTTAGTTTCTGCACTTCAGGCATTCACCCTGCCTTTCATTGTTCTGAAGTCCTAAAAGCTGTATTCTTTTATTTGAAAACATATGCCTTCTGTATCTCCAGAAATTAGCAACTGCACATGCTCATGAGCAATCACTTATCCTGAAGTCTTATTGTGGTGGGGCAGTGTCCAAGTGTCCAAGGCATGCTTCAAGTTAACATGCTGGTTTTTTGGAGGAGTGGAAGAATTATTAGAAACCTTCCAGTGGCCAAAAAATGGCCTTTTTGACATAGCTGGGCCTCAAGTCACACCGATAATGTTTGTTGGGCTTTGTATTTTAACGGCAGAGAAGTGCAATGCTGCAAGCTGGCTGGAGGCTGGAAGTCAGGCGCTCTGTATCCTGACATACACACAAGCCTGGCATGGGGGCATCAGTGGTGGATGCAGCTCCTGGCCCTTCCATACATCCCCTCCCCACTGCCCTATCCCCGGAGCTTGTTCCCTTTTTAACTTGTTTGCTCAGTGACATTCTGCAGCTCTGCAGTTCCAGCCCTGCAGTCTAGTTAGTCACCACTGCCAAACCCTGAGATGAGACAAATACAGATTGCCTGGCTATAGTCACTGCTTCTATGCTTTTATATACAGTGCCCGCTTGGGGGAGGCTGACTAGTGCTTCTCCTTCCCTGGGGGTGACACTCTGGCAGAGCCTTCTGCGGGAAGGTTGGGGTAGGTTTGGAACCAAGAGGAAAACCAGCATCTGTCAAAATGTCCTGTTGAAGAATTTGACCTCTTCCTACTCCCCTTGAAGTTTGTGTCCATGCCAGTACTGCTGACCCTTGTTCTCATTGCTGCCCTACATAACTGTTGTCTGCTCTTCAAGCCTGGCAGGGAGTGGGTTGTAATGAGGTGTTTACGAGCCAGGCATGGGGCTTGTTCCAATTGCTGAGAGATATTCGTGACTCTCAGCTTTTGTCTGTCCGGTTTTGTTAGTGGGAGTCAATAGCACGTAGTTGTTGGTATCACACAAAAACATTTGGAAGCTTTGTGGCCTTTGGAAATTACACGTTAGTGCAGATTTTGTAAATGTCACTGTGCCTGAGCTTGTAGGGGTTTTTTCAGAGGGCTGCCTAAAGATCTTGCCGTGTCTCATCAGCCTTGCAGTCCTATTCCCATCCTGCCATAAATGCACTTTTTAATATCCCGTACCTGTTAAAGCTCCGATTTTATCTACGTGCTTTACATAGTTTCCCTGTTCTTTTTGAACTTGGAATCAGATGGTCTACTGTCAAGTTGTTATGATGTTACTGTTGAAAATAGATGCACTGCTCGCCCACACCTTCTCTGTGTCTGCCCAAGGACAGCAGAGACAAACACCCATCTCAAACACCCATCTCTTACCTACGAGGCACCTGCTGGGGGCTAGCTGCTTGCTATTAAGAAAGCAAGCAATGCCCAAAAAAAGTGTCCAACTGGTAAAGATCCTTGCTCCTTAGACCTGCTCTAAATTGCAGTAAGTAACGAACCTGTTAATTGCTTTGGTAACAAGAGTTTTATTTAAATAGTCTTTCATGCCTGTGTTTGCCAGCCTGTGACTTACACCTCTGGAATGACAGCTTTCGGCTGCCAGGACAAGAGGGGGATTGGTGGCCTTTCTTGGGAGGTCAGGTAACGTACACCAGCTCCTGTTCTCCACTTGGGAGTCCTGGGGCCATCACAGCCTTCTGGAGAGCCTTATCTTCCTCCCTTGATGTGAACATTGAATAATGATTGAATAATGTAGCTGCTCTGCTGGTTTTTAGCTCGTGTCTGCCAGCAGTGTGAAGATGGACTGTGCAGCTGGGAGGGTTTGCTGGTGTTGAAAGCCGGCTAATTCATAGAGAATTCATGCACTTACAGCATTCTTGTGCTGTGTTTTTCTATGCTTGCTGGAAAACAACTCAAACTAAACAAATGTACAAATGCTACCTTGTTATGTTTAAATGATGTGTACTGCTTCTATCATACACGGTCCTCCCTTCTCCAAACCTCCTGCAGTGAAGGATCCCCCCAGTAACACAATGAACTGTGGGCTCTTGACAAGTATCTCACTTTCCCCAAAATATCTCTTGTTTAATAATTCATATTGCTCAGGCAGTGCATAATTCTGATTCTTCCCTCAGAGAAGTCATTTCTTTACTTTTCTTCCTTTTGATTTAGATGCAGAATGTAATTTTCTCTGCTAATTGTTAGACTGGTAAGACATCAAAGTAAATTCTGTTAGGTTTTCTCTCCCAAACTTGCAATCCTGTTACTCTGGGACTAGACAAGTTGTACAGCATTAACTCCAAGCTATCATCTTGATGTTCAGATATCATTTGAATTAGTGAAGCTAAAGTGAGAGTAGCTACTCTTGAACATAAGACTGGAGCAGGCAGTGGTTGCGTGGACCAGTGCTGACGCAAACCTCCCGCTTCACGACGCCTCAGAAACACAACCGCGTTTCAGGGAAGACAGCAGCGACCCGAGGACAACTGTTGCTGAGTTCCCAAAGGAAGAATTCTCAGTATTTTTATATTGCTCAAAGGAATGGGAAGCAAAGGCCGCGTTCTGTAAATATAGTCCTGCGGGGTATGTTTGCACTGGCAAATGAGGCATATCTGTAACTCTAAGCTACCTAGCAACTGGAGTGCGTGCCGCCGGTCCCGGCAGCGCGGCCGAGCAGAAGCCTCTGCCCACGGCTCTTTCCTACCCTGGCTTTAACTTCTCTGGCAGTGCTGAGCAGCCTTCCTTGGAGCTAGCCAACAGAATATTATATTGCCTTCTTTAATCCCCACAGAAACTTACAGAGAACTGGAGAAACAAATGATTCAGCCTGAGTCTGCAGCAGAGTATTTCCCCCAAGCGCAGTGTTATTTTGACACACAGTGTTTTCGCTCTGCCAAAAGCAGACGCGCTTTCCTTGACGGATGCACCAGTATAGCTGCTTCCACATCGGTCCAGCTTATCATAGCCTTCCACAGGGATCCCCTCTTGTATAAAGTGTACTTGCATTTAAGGGGATATGCTGACACACCTGGAATAGCCAGCCTTGGTTTAATTCCTCACTCGGACCCGGTTCAGCCTTTGTAAGATAGGATTATTGTATTTAGGTGTTCAGCTCCGAAGAGAAACAGTGTGACTGGAGTTGTGTTGTGCTACTCTAAGAGTGCTGATTGCTTCTCAAGCTTCCAGCATGATTTATGTTCCAACTTTATTCTTTGTAAAATGAGATGCGTCTTGGTTTTGCTACTGTCTGTCAATTTTCTCTTACCTTGATGATCCCGTGCTGTCATCGGAAATATCTGGCTCACACAGAATATAGATTTGGCTTCTGTGCTTGAAGATCTGAGCTCCCCGAGTGCTTGGTACTCTTCCACCATTTTCTTGTTTTGTGGGATCTACTGTTTCAGCTTGAGCATTTGTGTGTTTACCTTGGTTTTTTTTTCAGGAACACATTAGCTGAGCTTAAACACAAGTACTGGGTTAAAATTTGCCATGTGGGATTTTATCCTTTAACTGAAAAGAAGAATGGTTTATGCAAGTTTTCATTGCAAGTTTGATTTACACACCTAATTCAATGAAATTCTTGTGGTCTGGGTAGTATCCAGCTATTTATTAACCTCTGAATTATTCCAAAGTTAATCCATGTGGCCTGGAAACTTGAGAAAGCATCTCTTCTTCCATACCACTCCCATGCCCTTTCCAGGTAGTCCAAATAAGACTGCTAAACACCAGCTGTCATTGGCTTGGAAGTGCCTTGGAGAGCCTTAGGTTGGTCTAGGACAATGTAACTGCTACACACTTTCTCATTAAACAGCCCAGGAAATTGACAGTAATTAGAAATACAGAAGTTAACTAAATAGAGCTGTCTCTAAAGAGTAGTGCTTCTCACCATTGCTTCAGAAATGAGCTTCTCTTGATGAAGTGATGTGTAATTTGTTTGGTTTTTGGGGTTTTTTTTTTAAAAAAAAAGCCTGAGAAAACTGAAACTCCTTGCTTTGTGAAGGAATAGAGATGTGGAGTGTCAAGGCAGGAGTCATCCTTTGATTAATAGGCTTTTGCAGGAAGGTGTTGGACCATCCCTTACTAATAGAGAGGTTCAACCAGGTCTGACCAGATGAAGATGAATGGGAAACGTGCTGCTTTTTGAGAATACAGTGGAAGATTCCCAGCTCTCGTTAACTGCTGCCTGCTCATTAATCACCATGGCTTCAGCTGTTGCCAGTGGTGCTACCGGCTGGCGTAGCCAACTCCACGCTGGAATGGATCTCTGGTTCTCCCACCATCTTTCCCATCCTGGGGAGGGGTATGGCTTCCAGGTGGGGGATAATGATGCATGGCAGGAAGGAGGAGAAGGTGGTGGAAACATCAAGGTGTTGGACTGGGAGCTGCAGG